TAAAGAGAGGAAAATTTTTTGAGACGGGGCCCGCAACAGGAGCGGGCCGGCGCTAGGAGGGGTCCGGATGTTTTAATAACAGCTGTTCCCGGATCCCTCCTATTACAGGCGCAGAGTGGCACACCGTGTGGTTTTAGTCGGTCCGAGTCCGACACACCACCCCGCCGCAAACCCCGGTAGGGTGACGGTCCGAGGGGATTTCCACACGTTAAAAAGAAAAAAAAAAAAGGGTTTGTTTCAAGTTTTCCTTCTCTTTGCAGTGCTGTTGTTCTGCTTAGTTTCCTTCCTTAGCTGGCTCTTACAAAACCCATGGCATGTATACCTATTTTAACTTAGCAATATAGTATTAACTTTTAATCACCGGCTTTAATCGAATCGGAGCCTTCGATGCTCTACTTTCATTCCTTAGGGTTTTTTTTACTATTTACTTATTATAGTACATTACTTTAGTTATATTATATTACTTATAGTTTATATGGGAAGAAACGGGAAGTATAATCTCCTAAACAAAACAAATTTTCCAAATAACAAACATAAAACAACTAATGGACTAAGTTAAACTTAAAACGTTAAATTTATTAAAAGAAAACCCAAATTCTCCTTTCTTTTGAATTAACACTAAACATGCCACATGAGCTCAGTAGTGTGCTTTGAGGAAAACATGACGTTGCCTAGTTATCTGGCTCTTCTTTCTTTATTTCAAAACTTGTTCAAAAATATTCTTAGAGGGATAACTAGAGCCCAAATATTGTGGACATTATGAGAAAATATTTTGTAGTATAGTTTGATACAGTTAGAACTATTTGCCTTTCAAAAACTAAAAAGGCATCAATGCCAAAGCGATTCTGTTTGATACTTACGTCATCAATTGTAACACATTCACGCGGTATACTCGGATCAATGGGTTCACCAACAATATGAGACATCACCTGGAATTGTTTTCAAAATCCTTACTGGTATCATAAATGAAAATGTGCGTTCGCTTGTTAGTTAGTTTCTCATGCTTTCATGCCTTAATTGTCACAGGTGCAGAAAAGTTAATATATTAATATAAAGAGTCTTTACTAATAAAATACGGGTTTTGAAAAAAAATGATTGCGCGAGCTGAGTCAAATGTGACATTCTAGAAACAAGTGCTTCACGGCTAGATTTAAAAAAAACTTGTCAGGTGTTAATTTAATAATTCCCATTGTAGCCATTCACATTCAACTTTTAAAGTGACGATTTTTATTTATTGTCTTCGAGTTTTCATTAACAAAAACGTAGTCCTAGTATATTTGCTTAAAATAATCTTATTCAGGATATTTATTGGAATTTTAAATATACTAGTATATCTAAATTAAGGAATCTCTTTGAATTAGTGCTGTAGGCAGGTCAAATACTGGGCCAGGAACCTAATGACTCGGGCACGCTGTCATCGCGGCGGTAAGACCCGTTAGGGAGGATTGGCTCGAGAGGCATCACGGGACCCTCTCATACCAACTGACGCAGGTGATCACTGGGAAAGGATGTTTCGGGGATCACCTGTGTCTGATCCGCAAGGAGCCAACGCCTAAGTGCCACCACTGCGATGGTCGGACCGTAAACACGGCGCTCCATACGCAGGCAGAATGCCTGGCGTGGGTGGAGCAGAGGCGACGGAGTTGGTGGAGAGGGACCGGGAGAGGTATAGAACTCTTCCGGCCCGCCAGGCTCGGGAACGGGCCAGGTACCGCAGACGAATCAGGCCCTGGAGGTCGCAGAACGACCTCCGTCCTCCATAAGCGCAGGCCTGGGGGTGACAGAAGAGGCCATTTGTCACCCTAGCAGAAGCAGGCCCGGGTGGCGGCGAGCACGTTGCGTAGCGCGCTCACCCTTCCGGGAGCACAGAGGGAACATGGGGGTTCCCACACAGGGGGGGTCTACTCCCTAGATGGCCCGAGGTACGTCGGGGCACCAGGGATCTCCTTTCTAGGGTACACCTGGTTCCCGACTACTGGTACCTGATACGGCGTGCGGTTTTAGTCGGTTCGAGTCCGACACTGCCACCAGTAAGTGGTATCCGAGGGGATTTCCGCACAGAAAAAAAAAATGCAAGGTTCCTAATGACTGTTTGGCATGTATAACCCGATAGCTGTCTTTATCTGTGGTATGTACATATAAATACACCCTATGTCCATTATTTCTGTATTCTTCTGATGGTTGTATAATATTTGGTGTAAAAAAGAGGATTCATCTACATAGACAATACAATTGTACTAATAATATGGTAATTTATATTCGGATTTAAGACTTCGTGAGCTTGACCTTACCTGTGTCACAGTAATGCAAAGAAATAAAACAAATAAAAACATGATTTTGCAGGATTCAAACGGTAGGTAATGGAGCAAGTAGCGCTGATATTGGCTACTGACCGGCTAATCAATAATTGAACCAAAGAATAAAAGCTTTAAACAGTAGAGTGTCAAACAACATATTAACATTTTAGGAACTGTTTTATTAAATAGACTGTTCTTTATTAATTTACTACGAATTGACACAATTATTAACAAGGAGTCGATTGTTTTCTCGTCGAATCCAAAACTTATAGGTTTGAATTCCAAGGATTTCAGCCACTATTGGAATTTCGCGTTACACTTAAACTCGAATGCTTTGTCACCGCTATAGTATTATATGTATTTACTGATTAAAGTTGAGGGTCTATCTGATAGTTTTAGGAATCCATTAATCATCATAACACAAGATATCATGTTAGGTTAAAGAAAAATGAGTTTTTACGACAAAGCCATATAACATTGCAGGTAGGCCAATATTATTGTCTGTTATTGTTAATATTATTATTATTATTAACAGGCCTATTGGTCTAGTGGTTAGTGACCCTACCCTGGGTAACCCTGGGTTCGTATCCCACACAGGATCAATTTTGTGTGACGAGAATGATCATTTGTTCTATGTCTGGGTGTAATTTATCTATAAAATGTATGTATTTAGTAATATATTATAAATGAGTATGTTTATCAGCAGTCTGGTCACCATAGCACAGGCTCTGCCTAGTTTGGGATCAGACGGCCTTATGTGATGTCTGAGGTTATTATTGTTATTATTCAGGTAAAATAAAAACAGCAATCATGGTTGACGGTCGCCTCTGTATTCTACTCTACAAAAGTAATTAATTTGTGTGCATTCAGGCGGCGAGATAATTTTTACGAAGCGGCCACACTTCGTATTATCTCTTGCGTCAATATACAAGTATAAAAGGTAGTTCAACACTACATCAAAATGAATATTTTGACATCATCTATGCATTCACATCTTTTGTCCCCGGAGGGGTAGACAGAGTCGTGTTAAACGCCCTCATTTTATCTATTATTTATTATTAGTTCTGTAATTTCGAGACCTCTATTCATCTCGTAGATGTCGTAAGAGGTGTCTAAGGGAGCAAATAACGCAGGACAACAGCACAGCAAAGAGAAGGAAAATTTGACACAAACCCTATATCCAACTAAAGTATACCAACCCTTCTGACCAGCTTGTTATAGTAGGCCATAACCACCTTTCCGGAGATTGATTTTAGTACCATTTAGGGCACAGAGTACATTTCTAAATAGGTACAATGTACGAGTACATATGAATACCAATATTATATAATAAATGGAAGAATGTATGAATCCGCTGATTTAGATGAAATGTGGTATAGTGATAGTTTGATTCTTGAGAAAGGACATAGGCTAAACGAGATTACCGACATGGATGCAGGCTAATTTTACACAGAAAAAACTTTTGACTGCACTAATGGCGTAGTGGTTCAAGCAGTCGCCACGCCGTTTCCTATTGCGCTGAGTGTTGTGGGTTCAATCCACATATGGGACACCACTTTGTGTGATCGACACATTGCAGTTCTAAGTCTGGATGTTCTAAGAATTATTTGATTAAAATGTAGTGATAAAAGTTATATGTATAGAAGTTAACGGATATGAGAGCAATGAAAAAATTGATGAACTGCTGATAACGTAAGATATCTCTATGAAGGAAATAAGCAGTGAAGTACTAGGCATGCCTTTTAAGTTCTGTCGTTTCCATATTTGACGGCAATTTTGAATTTGGAACTGTTTTATATTCGAATGTGTTTAAATTTTGAATCTCAAAACAGTTTAAAGTATTAGGATGAATGCTATTGTTTAGTCACAGCGTCGATCGGAATCTGTCAAGTTACGTACGAAAATGAATCTTTCTAAGGAAAATGTTCGTGCAATAATTTTCTACAACTTTAGAAGAGGCCTGACACGGCTTCGGTGTTTTGAAAAGCTAAAATCTGTGTTCAGTGATAAGTCCCATGTCTGCGGACTGTCGAACGCTGGTATTTAGAATTCCAGCATAGACATACTAGTGTTAGTGACAAATCTCACGAAGGACGCCCAAAATCCGCCAATCACTGAAGATAAAATCATTGCTGTGAGACAACTAATTCTCGAAGATCGTCATGTGACGTATCGAGAGATAGGGGCTCTATTAGGCATCTCAGGGGCAACCATTCAGAAGATCTTGCATGAACCGCTTGGTGTGAGAAAGCTAGTTTGGCGTTGGATACCGCATCTGATCCGACGATCACAAGCCCGCGTCAAACGATTGAGTATTTGAAGAAATTCTTGACCATCCTCTATGGAGGAAATCGTTAGAAATCGGAAAAAATCCGCGTAGTCAAACTTGTGATAAAGGAGTCAGGATGAATATTATCGTCAGAATAAAAACTATTTCATATAGTTTTCTTTCTGATGATAGCAGGTTTTGATTGGATATGGCAGGTAGATGGGGTATTAGCTTCCATTAGGATAGATATATGTTAGATACAGGACAACAATAAACTGACTGAATTATTGTTTCATTTTGATGATAAGTAATAACACTTCATGAGGCTTGCTAGGGAGCGTATATTTATTTATAACAAATTATAAAGTGTGATAATATTTGACATGATACTAATACAAAATGTGATGCACATATGTATTAAAATATTCTGTATATTATTCAGTTGGTATCTCTTTGTACAAATACTGTTTACACTTTTTCATGTGATTTCCAAGTTTCTTGCAACCAGGAGCACGCTCATTCTGTTTGCAATTCTGAAAAAAAAGGTTGAATGTACAATTTAGCTAGTTAGTTACTTTTTATACCTTTTTTAGGAATATTTATAAAACACACTCAATAGGGTAGATGACTGTCAAGTCAAATCAGTAACTTTTTTTAAACGTCAAAACGCTAGACGCGGTACATTTTTGTATGAAATACTATTTCGTGACGTCATACCTAGCTATTGTCAAATCATTTATATTTAATGTTGATATCAAAATATCAAATCGATAAAAACATTAAATTGATAATGGAGGACAATTTAGGCTCTACTTTGAGATGTTACATTTAATGATGCAGGCGAAATAATTTATTTTAAACCTAGGAATCTACCCTATTACGTTCCATTTTCCGATTCGAGATATAATCGACTCAAGGTACAATTGTGTGCATTCGCAATCATGAAAAATATACTCACCCATATAACATTGCTTCTTATGCATATAAGTAACCTGTCCACTTCGCATGGAACATGATGGAACGTGCCGAAGGGTTTCTGGGGTACAGGTGGTCCATCTTTCTTACCAAAGCATATTCTTTTCGCTTCGTTCACACCGTCAGCAATATTATGCTGGTTTTCGGCCCATTTATCTAAGTATAACGCCATTGCATCATAGTTAATTGTTTCATTCACGTGCAAAAGATTATGTTTCTTGAATATACATATTCTGGGGGAGCACTGGAAATAATAAAAGTGACGTTCTATTTAGTAACACATAAATGTTTTGTTCTAATAACAGACTTGAAATTTTTAAAAGTTTATATTTACTGTACACTGTTACGTAATTAATTTTAGTCGCAAAGGACTATCCCGTTAAGTTTTAGGGATTCAAACCACCGGAAAGGTAGCCGTCTCACAAAAAACCGGTGCTAAATAATTATTTTGTTGCTTTTCATTGAGTGATGAGGCCACCGGAGGAAACAACCCCCACTACTTCAGGACGGAGGGGGGGCACTCAAACAACTAAAGCGTTTATGGCTCTTGAGTAGCAAACGTCCATGGGTGGCCGCAGTCACTTACCATCAATTTTGAAGCTCCAATTTATCCATAATAATAATATATTTATAAGTTTAGAGTAACTTGACATAGACGAAAATATGCTCAACACTGATATGTAGTAAGGCGTGCAGAACTACTTACATCTCTGGACTTCCAAGGTTTGGAATTATCAGGTAACTTGAAACCGCAGTTTGCCAAATCTCTGTCGTGAAACAGCTGATTAACAGGGCAGCAGTCATGAAGATTCACCTGTCACCAATAGAATAGCGATTAACTTCAATCAGTATGTCAATGTTGCTAGTGTTTCTGTATATTGGTGGACGGTTCCAGATTCCGCATTTAAACTCAAGAACCTTTCTTAGACGTATAATGGACTTATGCGTCCAAGAAAGGTTTACCAGGGCCTCAATTCTGCTATTTTATGTTTACGCCAACTCAGTATCATACCACTGACACGCTATTGAGATGCCATCGAGTGGCCATTGGCATCGGTATAAATATCGGTAGTTGAAAATATATTCCAGGCCCAGGTGGTTTCTGTAAATTATAAGAACAGTACAATCAGTTGACACGATCTTTGTATCATGTTAGTTACATTTTTTTTTTTTTGAGCCTGCACGAAACACTGCCATTTTTGCATGGGTCATTTAAATTGCACACACACATGGAGTTTACGGCAACGGGCACTCTAGTCATAAAAACCTTTTAATGGGTTTCACTACTCTAGTTATTTTAGAGTTGGTTTGGTAGTCTATTATTTATTATAGGTTGTATATTAAGGGTATACATTAAAGGTTTGATATTGTTTCGTATTTATGGTACGACTTGTTTATTCCCATGGAGAAGGTAAATCATAATTTTAATGTTTTTTTAACAATAATTTAATTTTGGATGCGCGCAATGTGTAGCATTGCACAGTGTTTTAATAAATGTAAATTTATTATGAAAATCGGAAAAATAATAATTCAGAATTTAAGATAAAAATAATAGTTTTAAAAAACTAAAAAAAGCCTTTTATAGAAAACCAAACTAAAAAATTTAAAATAAATTTTATTAAATTTGAAAAAAAAGCGTTGGTAAAAAAAGTATTATTATTATTATTATAATTAGTGTATTGTCATCGGTCCTCGATATATCTACAAAGTTTGAACGAATTCTGACCGTTTAATGTCAGTCAAAATCACGCCCAAAGGAGTCGGTTACAAACAAACATTCAAACATACAAGTGAAGCTTATATAAAGCGTGTAAAACAAAATCGACTGCACGTATGGCGTAGTGACTTAAGCGGTCACCTCGCAGCTTCCTACTGCACAGAGTGTTATGGGTGCGATCCCCACATGAGACAACACTTTGTGTGATCCACAAATTGTTGTTCTGAGTCTGGGTGTCATTAGTGTCCGTTTTATGTGTGTCTGTAAAGTCCCTCGCGATACGGGGTTTATTCCTGGTGCAGGAGTTGTCTTTTTTCCATTTTTCCATAAAATTAGCGTATACTGCTAACTTGAAAAAGTGAACATACAAGAATCAGCCGATTAGCCTGTTGACTCATCGGCTGTTTTCTTTACTAGATGAAATCTAGTTACGCTATCCTTTGAAAAAAAAGTATTGATAATGTGAATCTCTCATTGAGTCAGAGACTTCCTTATTCACTGACAAAAAATAGCAGTTTGATATTAATAATACATCAGACATTACAACTTACGAATTTACCTGTTCTTGAGAACGTGGTATTGGTCCTCTTATATGAATGTAATGAAATTTCGAAGTAATCTTATCATGTACCTGGTAAAGAACATAAAGTGTTTTTCATTATCTAATAACCTAACTAGCCAACTAGACCCTAGATGACATCATTCCGAGTGTGAGTTTGTTTGCTATAACATATTAACCAGTTAATCTTTAATCATAAAAGTTAGTAAATCTCTTTATAGAGCAATTGGAAAGAATATTGGTTATATATCACTAAAAAGGACGTTTCTAAAAAAATTACTATTTGACGGCCGTCGACGGTAATTCTTTATTGATACGAAAAACTGTTATGCGTTTATTAAATAATAATAATAATTATATAATATACTTCACACATCTTACACACGGCTGTCTGATTCCAAACTAGGCAGAGCCTGTGCTTTGGTAACCAGACTGATGATAAACATACTTTTATATTTTTAAATACATACATACTATAGATAAATTACACCAAGACACAGGACAAATGACCGTGCTCATCACAATTTATTTGTTTTGGATCGCTAACCACTACATCAACCACTACCCCATTTACATTTAAACTGGATGATGTAGATAAAACTCAATAAAACCAGTAGTCACGGAAAACGTCAGGAAATTTAAGCCATATCCATTGAGGATCTGATCGCTGTCAGCCCTGTTGACATCATTATTATTTATCATAATTATTAATTATTATAAACCAGATGCACCCTGCCACACTTCGCTGTGGCATATTGAAGTTGCATTAATAAAGCGGTTAGTATATCTTGTTAATTTGAGCTCAATCAGTGCAGAACTTTTTGAAGCGCACACAAACCAACTTAACATTTTTAAATGTAAAGATTGCTATCATAAAGATGGTATCGTTAACAAAACTTAGTAATATCATAATGCACTTGTGAATTCTAATCTACGTTATACTTACGTTATCCGGTGGGTAATAACAATCTACAGGTATACTTGGATCTATAGGAACTTCAGGACCTAGTTCGTCAAATTCGGCGCATATCATCTGAAATGGAAATGTAACGTTAAAATTATCTACTTAATAAATATATTTATATGATGCCTAGCTGCATACAACTGCAATGTAATATTTATAAACAGAATATATCTCCTTGGAGGGTGATAGCTTAATAAGTAGAAGTAGATAATTCATTGGTGATGCAGGAATGTAATACGGTCGAGTAATATCTTTCATAACACTCACTTTTGAAGTTTGGTAATATATAATTATTTTAAGTAATTAGTAAGTTAAGTAAGTGGTAAGTGGTGGTGTCTAAGTGGTAGCCGACTACGAGTAGGTTAACACATTGAAAAGTTAAGCAATCCTAGACAGGTTAGTCTATGGATAGGTGGGTATCGGTGGGTAAACACATAGAGACGGCTCGGAGAGCACCTTTATAGATCGGTCCCAGTTACCAACTTGTGGGCAATCGTAACGGACCCTAAAAAGTCAAACAACAGTATTTTTACAGAAGAGGTACTTATAATAAAAATACGTATGTAGTAAAAGTGATTTCGAATTTAATTACAGTCAGATGTCATTGCATTAAAGAACTAATTAAATACTTAAGCAAAATTTTAGTAAATTTCTGCTTTTAATTAAAATTAAAGCTTACCTGTATTAAAGCGAATAAAACGAAGACCTGGATAGGTGTGATCATGATTTTAGGATTAGTTGGTCTGATGGTATAAACGTACTTCCAACTGGTTATATAGTTACCGGCTACCGGTCGTGGCTATTGTCAATACACGGGAAATAATCAAGGTGTTGATCAAAGAGTACAAATATGTGCAGCAGATAGATTAGTTCGTTCATCGCACTATATTAAATGAATAATGATCAAATCTGGATGTTATAAGTGAATTACTCGATCTTGTAAATAAGAGTCACTTAATTCCAGGTGTTTTCAGTTCATTTAGTTTTACATAAATTTAAGTCATATGAGTCACACGTTACTGGTATATCAGCCTTTTTTTTTTGTCCGTGCGGAAATCCCCTCGGATACCACCTCGGTTCGAGTCCGACATGCCACCGATAGGTGGTATCGGATCGGTGGTCGGTGGTACCGACTAAAACCGCACGCCGTCTCGGTTACTTATAGCCGGGGAGCCAGGTATACCCTAGAAAGGAAGTCCCTGGTGCCCCGACATCCTGGTATATTAGCCTGCTCTTATCAGAAGGTTTATATCTTTATAATTATTTTTATCTAATTTTATTTTATTTATTTATTAAAGGTTCACCAACAACTGTTTACATTAATTCCTTAAACTAATACATGCCATTTAGTAATAACAATGCAACAGCCACTTATAGGTAAACACCGCTTATGCTTTAAAAATAGATAAAAAGGTTGACTGTTTCAAAACAATTAATGAAAAAATCTCACAAAGGGAAAGTATTAATACAATATTTTAGTTTTTTAATTTTCATATTACATTTATTGCGTCATAGCAAATCACTAAGGACGGACTTTTTCTTACAAATTGTATCGAAGTATAAGTCAATGACATCGCTGTAGTGATTCACTACCTTACACATTCTTGCAAAGGGAGAATTGGAACCAAGAACTGTTCTTCTCAGCGGGGAACAAAGTGGCGCGACTGGGCTGCGCGGGTGTCTGGATGGAACGCGAAACTTAAAAAGGGCTACCAACTGAGGACAGTCAATTTTCTGGTCTAGAATTTTGTACGCGAACATTGCATCGTTTAGGCTTATACGTCTTGCTAGGGATTTTGTTCCAAAGTGCCTCATTCTGCCTTCGTAAGAGCGTATTTTTTTGGTGATGCCATTGGAGAATGCAAGGTGACAGAGAAATCTCTTTTGTACACGTTCAAGTCGCAATGAGTGTACAGCATAATGCGGCCTCCAGACTCCAGGAATTTATATATTATTTAAGGTTTATATCTTCGTAGGATTGTTGGCAGCTGATTACGTTTTTTTTATTACAGAGAATGGAGTAATTTACCATATCACATAAAAATCTATAAAATCTCCGTAATTCAAAGTGAACTTATTAATATTTATTTATGAATAGTTTTTCTTCTTAGACGAAACAGTACTTGTATATTAGTAGTACTATAATATCTCTATATATTTCTTTCAAGCTCAACTGATGCTTATTGAAATCAATGATTACTTTGGGGTAGATGCAAATTATGTACTTAGGTAGTCCCATAGCAGTTAGTTTATCTCTCTCACCTGCTTCGCTTATTAACGTTTGTAGTTTAATCAATGATTAAAAACAAATTTGACGTCCAACTTTCAAGTGCTCGGTAACTTGAATCTTCCCCTGGGATAGGGCCTAATTAGGCATGGTGTCAATTCGGGGAGGACCTGAAATAACATGGTCCGGGCATCTGAGGCCGTCGGGGTGCTTTTAAGTGGAATCACCACATACTCCTGGCTCCTGAGTCTCTGAGGAGCAGGAGATCTGAAGGTCACCGTCAACCATTACGTTATTGACAACACTTACTAAAAGAATGCGTCAATTACGACTAATGAGAGCAATCTAAAAACGTTTAGTGCAGTTGCACTGCAAAATATAGTTTATTATGAATAATTATGATCTACACTAAGTCAATTAAAAGAGGAGAATTAATATTAAGGATCATGCTCTTAAATGGAGGTGGTTGCCATTTCTTTAAGCTTTATCAACATCTTTGTATAGTAGCTATGTGCAGTAATAACACTTTAACTTGTATCTTTTTGATTTGTACTTTTTTAGATCTTTTGTCCATTCTGCACTTTTGACAACATCTATGCCAAATTTTTTGATGAGCGGTTGAGTAAAGAAACAAGAAACATATTCTTTTTGCCGTTTTATAAGTTAGAATAAAATACTTGTAGATAGTATATGTTTTGTGTGAGAATATGAGAAGAGAAAATGATCGCATTATCTTTAGTTTACTTTTTATTTATTAGAAACTAGCTGTTTCCGCGTGTATGTCGGTTATCGCGGTAAAAAGTAGCATTTGTTACTCACTGATGACGTAGTTTTCCATTATTGAAAGAATTTTCAAATCGCTTTAGTGGTTTAGGTGAAGAGAAGAAGGGAAGAAACACACAAACAAGCTCACTTTCACATTAATAATTTAAGTACTAGGCATGCCTTTTAAGTTCTGTCGTTTCCATATTTCCCGGCAATTATGAATTTGGAACTGTTCTATATTCAAATGTGTTTTTAAATCTCAAAACAGTTGAAAGTATTAGGATTAATGCTATTGTTTAGTCAGAGCGTCTATTAGAATCTGTTAGGTTACGTACGAAAATTAATCTTTCTAAGGAGAATGTTCGTGCAATAATTTTCTACAACTTTAGAAGAGGCCTGACACGGCTTCAGTGTTTTGAAGAGCTAAGATCTGTGTTCAGTGATGAAGCCCCATATCTGCGGACTATCGAACGCTGGTATTTAGAATTCCAGCGTGGACATACTAGTGTTAGTGACAAATCTCGCGAAGGACGCCTAAAAACCGCCTTCGCTGAAGATAACATTGCTGTGAGACAACTAATTCTCGAAGATCGTCATGTGATGTATGGAGAGATAGAGGCTCTATTAGGCATCTCAGGGACAACCATTCAGAAGATCTTGTATGAAACGCTTGATGTGAGAAAGCTAGTTTGCCGTTGGATACCGCATCTGCTTTCCGACGATCACAAGGCGGCCCGCGTCAGATGGTGTAATAAAACTCTGCAAAGGTTCAACCGAGGAGAGTCAAATCACGTCTACGACCCTGATTCCAAACAACAATCTACAATCTGGGTCTTTCAAGACGAGCCAAAGCCAACTAAAGTTGTTCGTTCTCGAAGCACTTCAAAGAAGATGGTGGCCACGTTCGTTGAAAAAACCGGCCATGTTGCGACTATTGCACTTGAAGATCGTAGAACGGTTAACGCAGAGTGGTATACCACAGTTTGTTTACCACAAATCATCGCCGAACTTCGAAAATCTAACTCAAAACTACGCGTCATCCTGCACCACGACAACGCAAACTCACACAGCGCTCGTCAAACGATTGAGTATTTGAAGCAGAAAAAGGAGGAATTCTTGACCATCCTCCATCCAGTTCTGACCTAAGCCCTAACGATTTCTTTACATTTCCTAAAATTAAGAAAAGTCTTCCTGATCAAAGGTTCCAGTCCGGTGAAGAAGCAGTCAAAGCTTCCAAGTCAGCCATTTTGAACACCCCCACTTTAGAGTGGAATAAATGTTATAATAACTGGTTTGAGCGAATGGAAAAGTGTATTAAGCTACGTGGTGAATACCTTGAAATTACTATACAATAAAAAGTACTATAAGGTTCTAGTTGTGTTTTTTTTTTTAAAAACTTAAAAGGCATACCTCGTATGGATGTACTTAATTTCAAGTTTGATGCAAAAAATCTATAATCACTAGATTACAGATTATTTAATTATAAAAAATTAAACCTTTTAAAATTAATTTTTTAATAACTTTATTTATCTTTTAATTATTAATTTAGCTTTTTTAGCTTCATTTACTATTTAGTGCCAACATTCTTTTTAATTGTCATTTTTGTTAAGTTAGTTTATCTCTAATTGTTTTTATGTTCATTTGCTATCTCGAGATCCTGATTTGGAATCTAAACTTGCAAAACTATTGAATGGGATATTCTTCTAAAAAATTGTAAGCACAGATTTTTGAAATATTTACCATAGATAGCTGCTACTATAGATAGATACATAGTAGAGGCCAGTCCCATGTGAACATTGATAATTGTTTGGCTTAAACCAAATATACAGTAGCGTTAAACAGATGCGTATAAAAAGAAATACGACATCCGTTAACTTAAATATTTCGCTAACAATTGCCACGTTTCTTTTTAAGTTTTAATTACATTTATGACACTCCAAATCGCATGAAATTGACAATTAATTAGCATAGCTAACTGCATAACTTATACATAATACATCAGGAGTATAAGTGTGTCGGATGTCCTCAAGCCTCAAGGTCCTTTATTATCACGGTTAGTGATCAGTGTCAAGTATTGTCAAGTGATCTTAAGACCTTGAGTGGAATACTGGACGTCGAATAATTACACCCAGTACAATGAACTAGTGGATAATAATGTATGTTTATATGTTTAGTGTCATTACTGCAATAAAGATAACAGTATGGCGGAGTACATCAGGGATGTATTGTAGGTCCAATGTTGCATGTATAAGCATGAAGAAATTCATTTTATATTCAAATGAGTATTGCAATCACGTGTAATTATTGTGTTCTAATGTAATTATTTATGTTTTAATGTCATATTATTTGTTCTGGGTTAAAATCGATTCCACGACCTCTCGCTCACCATCCGCCGAGTCTATTCCCAAACTAGGTTGAAGTCGGCTTTCAGTCCACTGCGACACGGCTGAACTTTAATTTTATACGTAGAGCGGCTGCCATCGAATCTCCACAAGCTAGGTACTAAGCGATATCGAAGTTCTGTAGTAAAACTATTGTCATACTTTATCGGTCTCTAACTACCCGTAACGGTTGAGACAGATGTTTGTATGGCAACCGGGGCCGACAGCTTAACGTGCTCTCCAAGACGCGGAGGGGTCCTAGCTTACCAATTAAGATCATAAATCACTAGACCTAAAAGCCTACATTATCCATGGATTAGTAAATAAAATATCGAATTATAATAATTATGCAGATTTATAATATAATGTAAAAGTGAGATTGTTAATTTGTTTGTTTGTTACGCTTGCACGCCTTATCAACTAAACTACTTTAAAAAAAAAACTAATGGAAAGCTACATTATTAAGGAGTACTTTTTACTGCGATAACCGACATGCATGTGGGCGGAGCCGCGGGCTAAAGCTAGTAAATAAATCAAATAAGTAATGTTATAATCAGCTATTAAATGCAATATGTCAAAGATAAAATAATCGTGAAGTATCGTAGGTCAGCAGATTAATTTATGTCTACAAACCTATACTTGCGTATGTGAAAAACCCAACCTGCAAGCATCATCACCGAGGCTATCTCATTTTCAGTAGGGTATTTTTATTAGATACAAAACACATTTGATTACTTAAAGTCTTATTTTAGACTTACAATTTTATTTATAAAAATAAATTTATTTATTAATGTTTTACGACTAAAATACTCAGCACTTCCAAGCTTCATTTGGACATTTCTGAAACAAAATAAAATGCGGTTAATACCAAACTTGGAGCGTAAGTTTTAAGGAATGATAAACAGTTAATATACAAATATGCGTGTGTCACCTACAACAATGGACGACAGAAATCCGAAGATTGCATAACATATTAAACAATACATCTCTTCTTAGTATAGTTTACATCAAATGCAACTACCATTACGTGGGGTGACGGGCCAAAGGGGTTTCTACACGTAAAAAACAATAGAACACCATAGTAGATTGTTGTGAATTGGTTATGATTTTTGTTAGTAATAATAATAACCTACCACTTTTCATACAGGGCTGTCTGATGTCTGACAGAGACTGTACTTTGATAACTAGACCGCTGATGAACATACACATATGCTTTTAAATACGTACATACATTATATTTAATGACACCCAGTCATAGAACAAACGATCGTGCTCATCACACAATTATTTGTCCGGTATGGAATCGAAGCCAAGACCTCTGGCTTAGGCCTTTCAATATTTTTAAGATGCTATTTGTGTATTTTATCTAAAACAGATTTTATTAAAATTACCTTTAACATAGCAATACCAGTGCATGCGAAAACGTCATACGCTTTGCAAGGAAAATCCAGATGCTGTCTCGGGTCTGTGTCGACACAGTCTTTAACAGCTTTGTCAACCGCAGGTGACCATCCTTTATGCTCCTCCGCCCACTTGATCAAATGGTTCTTGTAAACTTCCTTGTTGAGCGTGTTATTATCGATGAGAAATCCAGATTCTTCGAATATACATTGGACATCGTTGCACTGTAAGATAACATTATTAATTTTAAAATAACTGAGCTGAGCAAATTTGTATGCGTCTCTCAAAATGAATAAATTTGCCCCGTTTTAATGGCTATCCTAATGGGCTATCCAACACTAAAGTATTTTTTTAATTCGAATCAGTAATTACTAGGATTAGCTTTCAACCAAACAAACAAACTCTTCAGCTTGTAAATTAAATAAATAATCATAATAATCTGGATTTTGATTATTTGATGTAGGCATATATTGTGGACCGCTTTGTTGGTGACTATGTTTTAATATCGGCGCATTTTGGTCTAAACAATGGCAGGTTTATATGCACATTCTTCGGCTACTAGTAGCCGAGACGGCGTGCGGTTTTAATTGGGTTCGAGTCCATCATTCGAGATTTTCTCATGAAAAAATAAGGTGTGCTTACATGCTTGCAGCTAAAATACGTATGACATATGTTGTAATAGTTAAATGTTTTAAAGCTACAGTTGCTTAGTATATTGTCAAATGCTTCAACTAAGTTTGAAGCGTTTCCAATGTAAAGTATTGGGTAGTTTAGGTTATATATTTACTAAAGTAGAGTTGTTTATGAAACTTGTTATTTTAAATTGATAGAGAATGATACGATTCTGATAGGGATGGATTGCCAGTGTGTCAATTAACTAATGTAAAATACGCAATTGCCGGTGACTTACTTGGTAATTAATCATTAATTAATTCATTTTAAATATTTATGCCGCTTTTATAAAAGTATACCTAAAACCTTGCTCGATAAATGGCCTATCCAAAACGATAAGATTTTTTTAATTCAAACTTACTTCCTAAGATTAGCACGTTCAATCAAACAAATTCTTTAGCTTCATAATATTAGAATAATATAGCTAATCCATTGACAGGGCCTGTTAACCAACATATTTCGACTCAACATTCAATTTTTAGAGGACTAAACTAACAATCCACTATTCTACCTACACAAAGCACTTACGAGGCTCGAATGTATTCGAGGAATATTTGTCTGTTTGATCTATTGATTTGCAAATGTGATGTATCAACACTCACCGGTCCATTAACTTTAGGGTTTGAGCAAGTAGTTAGGTGTTTAACATCACCGATCTCGGGGATGTCACAGCACACTGATAGTGGTTTCTGAAAGTACACAAAATACATGTAAAACAACTAATATGAATATAAAATACCATAATTGAAATACAGCAATATACTCATATATGTTATGAAAGACGACTTTATAATAACTTTTTTTTATGGCACAAGGGGGCAAACAAGCAGACGGGTCACCTGATGGTAAGCAACTACCGCCGCCCATAGACACCTGCAACTCAAAAGTCACAAGTGCGTTGCCGCCCTTGGAGTCTCTCCCGCTCGAGTCAGCGGGAGGGGGGATTTGGGCCCCGGTAACCTTACTTACTCAGTGAAAGGCAACGAAAGAATTGCTTAACACCGGTTTTCTGTGAGGCCGTGGTATCACTCCGGTCGAGCCGGCCCATTCGTGCCGAAGCATGGCTCTCCCACGGTAAATTGCTGCAAAGTTATCACGTCTACATTTCGACATTTACAACGTCTATGAGATTAACCATGCCTTCACAGATAATCATTGTTAAGCAATTCTTTATTTGAGTTTCACCCAGTGAGGATTCCGAGGGGGGAGGGAGGGGATAGACTCAAAAGGTCAAGAGTAATAGTACCTCAAGAGACCTGTGTGTTGCCTTGTGACTCTTGAGCTACTAGGTCTTCATGGACGGCAGTAGGTACTTATCATCAAGTGACCCGTCTGTTCGTTTGGCCCGCTATGCGATAGAATAAAAACCTATTAGCGAATGCATCGTGGTTAAAATTTGAAAGGAACGATAATCATTAACCACTTCGGAATTTTATCAACATATTATCCTGATCAGCACTTTCAGGATTAACGCCTTTCTCCATACCTAAAAATAGTAGTAGTATAGTGGTAGTGTATTTTGCTACGTACTAAGAGGCACGTGCTGAAGCACATGTGACTTACTTACTTTTTCAGTTTTAATGAGGAAATAATCATCATTAATGACTAAAAAAGCACAGCAAATTATAGTTCAAAAAACTAATTGGGTGGAAAATAAATTAGTTTAAAAAATCTTTTTAACTAAAATTATTTATTATGACTTCAAAAAGAAAAATCATCATTTTCAAGATATTTGTAATATAATAACTTTACTTTTCCCAATAAAATATTTTTTACAAAAATTGAGATCTAGCACCCTACACATTTTTACGATAAAGTTATTATTCTTTTTGAAATTTTAGCTAGTTACAAAAAAGTATTTTTAGTTTTTAAAACTATCTTATATGCCTGTGCCGATCTACGCCGATCTACAACCGCCCATTTCCAAAGGGTTGAGCCTCATGAGAAGAAAGGGCAAACAAACTCACGGCCACTCTTTTTAAATCAACAGAAAACAATGGCATCATTAAATATACACAACATTGTTTTGATGTGTGCCAGTATGTAAGTTTTAAGACTGCTCCTCCCTTCCAGAATTAGGAGGACTGGTACTTGTCAGCACCGGTCTTCTGCACGAGGATGTCTCTTCCACGGTTAAATCGTAGGTTTTACTGGTTTTACCTTTGTTCGGGATTTTAAAGTAATCTAGATATATCATCACATCATCATCAACAGTCCACTGTTGGACATAAGCCTCTCCTTAGAGAGGAGGGTTTGGCCTACTATACCACGCTGGCTAGACGGGTTGGTATTGGGCTTGTGTCAAGTTTTCCTTCTCTCTGCAGTGCTGTTGTTCTGCGTAGTTTTTCCCCTTAGTCGGCTCTTACAAAACCCACGGTATGAATAGGGGTGGTGACACTCTGTATTCTTAATTCGTCACCACGCAGACCCGTCACCACGTGGACCTAGAATCTAGATATAGATACTTGGTATCACTGAAGTAAAAAGGCTTATTCAGCATTGTATTATCAAACAAAGTATTTACCAGAGTCGCGCCTTTCTTCGCTCCTTTGTGTATAATAACATCAGCATGAATTACCTGAAACGAATAACTTAACATTTTTAGATAAGTAGAAGACTAGCGGACTCGACAGACGTTGTCGAAAAACATTTTGTAGTGGACCGAATTGTGAATCTAAACCATTCTCGAATCCACTTGAACACCCTAAAAAATCCTTTAAAATCGGTCCAGCGGTTTAGGAGGAGTTCAGTTACACACACACACACATAAGAATTATATACATAAAGATATAAAACTTTTTTAAGAACCTTGCATTTAAATCAGATTAAAAACTCTACGTAACTCAACTCAATTAAAAAAATCATTTTTCACTAAGATTTACAACTTGATTAAACGAAGAATAGTAGAGTAAATTTTATTATTTTAGTAGTTTATTCTACTTACAGTAACAAACAAAAGAAAAGCAATAAATTTGTACATCTTGAGGTCGCGCTCGTTCGGTACACTTTCTTATGACTGATGAAGACTTATGAACAACAAAATTAACACAATAACTATTTACTTATATTTATATCGCTATGTTTATAAATACAACTCTTATCTGAATGTCAAAGTGTAATTTAATTACTCACAGTAGCCGCAGATGGCAATGTTCTTAGAATGTACCAAGTTTATTATTGTCGTATCAAAAACTGATTTTAAGTCATGTACACAACGCCGCTTATTTGTTTATTATAATAAATTATTAATATTTTGAAATAGGCATTTTATTCTTTTTTTTAACCAACTTCGAAGAAAATAGAGAGAGGTTGTAAATTCAACTGTTTTTTTTTTTCTTAATGGTAAGTGAAATCAACTTATATCGACCCGTGGCTCAGTGCAATTTTGCAGGTGCTTAGGACAAGCTAGACTTGTTGTTATTTTTTTTATCTAATTGTGTTACTTAAATTCACTTACCGAAAAACTGAGGCTATCATTTAACGAAACTATTCTTTAATTAAAAAGATACAATTACATTACTTCTTCTTTCGATCCCTTTTTTTCAAAACAAGGTTGGGGTCGGCTTTAAGTCTACTACAATACGGCTGAACTTCCATTTTTTACGTGGAGACACAACCCAAGTAGGTGATATCGGCTAAACTAGACTAGACTACTACTCCAACTACCCGTAATGATTGCCACAGATGATCGTGCGGCAACTGGGACCGACTGCTTAACGTTCTCTCCGAGGTAAGGAGGGTCTCAATGTGCTAAGAATGGTCACCTGTCCATAGGTCCACAGATTGACCTGGCTAGGATTACCTTAGTTTGCAATGTGTTAACCTATTCGGTTACCACTTATCCACGAGTCCCTCTACAATTACATTAGAAAGCTAGATTTTAAAAAATGCACGTTTGTAAGCCCCTGTCCTTACGTAACTTGTTTTTAAAATTGATTTAGGTTGAAATGTTTATTTTGTTTCTACTTTTTGATATAGTATTGGTGTTCACACTGAAACGGCGTACTTTTGATAGGGAGTTCAAAATAAGGTCACATTTATTTTATAGTTGGTAAATTCAAAGGAATTTTATAAACGCGAAAGTATGTTAGGATCAATGTATGACTGTTACTATGTGTATTTTAAAAATTTAAATAAGATTAAAATTAGACTGACTAACAGGCCTTATTTCATATTCATAACATTAGTTGAAACTAGTAGGAACTGCTGTTTAATTTACAATATCGTACAAGGAGAACTGTTTGCTTTGAATAAATGAATTTCGGCAATTTTAAATACCTATACACATTTCTTGAAATTCAATTCTGACAATATCACTATTCTTACAAGTTGTGTGATAAATATAATGTTTTTGTTGTCATCGTCTTTTCAAGATTTATATCCAGGAGTTAGTTTAGTTAGAGGCTCATTTATTTACGAGGAATTTATTCGCGCCAATAAAAGAAAACTGCGTGTGCCTGTGTGAACTATTAGAACAAAACATGTTTTATTTTTGTGGTTCTTGACTTAAAATTTGAGTGTGTGCTTAAATCTTTTGAAGTTAGGATACCAGTATTGGGGTGCGTGGTCCGGAACCTCCTTGTGGTGCACCCTGGGCAACGGGGGCGGCAGCGCCTCTCTCCCTAGGTGGGAGAGGCGCTGCCGCCTGCGGCCAATTCCGGCCGAGGTGGGAACGGCCCGTCAAGGGCTGTTCGGAGGGCTGCTTTCCGCATGTCCCTCTGTTTGGCAGAGGGCATAGGGGAGAGCGGGCTGGGGGCGGACGGGTCCACTGCAGCTGGCTCTGTCCAGAGGTGGGGGACACTGGTCTGACGCAGACCACCGTCCGGCCATGTCGTAACCCTGACTGGCAACGGTCAGGAATGACGGCTCTTCGAGGGCTACGAGGAAGGCAACCTCTATAAAAAACCCTGGGGCGGACGGACCCGGTCTGGTGCAGACCCCGTCCGGCCCAGCCGTAATCCTGAATGGACAGGACCGGTGGATCTTCGGATCCGCGAGGACGTAAACCTCTATAAAAAATGCTCTAAGCCCACGTTCTGACGCCTGGCAAGGGGCTGAGTCGCTGGAGGGAGTCCAGTGCCGAAGGCGTCCCCGTCGAAGGACGTTAAACTAAAAAACTATGACATGAGGCCAATAAAAGAGAAATCTACCCAGGAGGGTACCGGGCACACAGTGTCTGGGGAATCCCTCCCGGAGCCAAAGGGCTCCGGCAGCTCCCAGTCGTATTCTGGGGGGAGCACCGAATGTCGAACCTGCCCGTCGCCGAGCAGTAAATCCGGCGACGTTATCGCGGAGGACGCGAGAAACCTGGAGGTAGTGTCGAACACCGACACTGCCTCGGAGATGAGCGGAGTGAGTACCCCGATGGTCTCAGCTGCAGAGCAGCACCAGAAGGGTACTCCAAAGCGCAAAAGGCGCTCGCTTCGCCTGGGCCTGAAGAGGCAATTGGAGTCGGCCTCGAGCGATGAAGCCACGGCTCCAAAAGTCGGCACAAGCCGCAGAGGAGAAGAAGAAGGAGCCCCTACGCTCCTACGCTCCCGTGAAGAGGGTCGCGTCCGAGAGGTCGACAGACGTGACCGAGGTGAGGAGCGAGAGGGAGGGTGAGCTGAGAGGCAAAACCGGCAACCCCGTGGACCAGATCGAGGAGGCAATCGGCGTGGCCGATTGCCTGCTCCAGACGTCCGGGGTAGCCAGGGGTCCCGAACAGGAGGCCCTGGTAGCGGTCGTGCGCTCCATCATCGAGGCGGGACGACTCCTCGTGGCCGAGAGCAAGGCCCACGCTAGGGAGAGAGCCCGCCTCGAGGCGGATCTCGCCAAGGCTCGTGCCCACGCTGGTGCCACACCAGCGTCTTCGGCACCTGTGGCGTTGTCCGCCCCTAAGGAGCCGGACTTAGTCCGACTCGTGGCGGAGATGGAGGAGCGAATTATGAGGCGCATCTCTGCAATAGAGAGCGCCCGTTGTCGCCCACCTCTGGCTCCGCCAAGAGCAACCTATGCGGCCGCTGCCAGGGCGGGCCTAACAGCCCAGCCAGCAGCTAGGGTGGCTTTGCCGTCATCAGCCCCCCCGCCCCAGAAGACCGGAAAGGGCAAAGGGAGGGGGAAGGCGGCCCCAACCCAAGCCCCAGTCTCGGCCCCGGCTGACACCACACAGCGCTCGTTGGAGCGGGGCTGGACGGTGGCCGGGGACAACAAAAAGAGGCGGAAGGCCGCGGCCAAGAAGGCGAGGAGGGACGCCGCCGCCGCCGCGAAGGGAGCGCCGAGGAAGCTCCGCGCCCCTCGCTCCTCGGCCGTCGTTATCACTTTGACGGCGGAGGCAGCGGAGAGGGGCGTGGGGTACGCCGAGGTCTTGACGAAAGTCAAGGCCAACGTGGACCTCAAAGCCCTCGAGATTCCGGGCGTCCGGTGTAAAAACACACGGACGGGAGCCCGGCTCCTCGAGGTAGCCGGCGCTACCAGTGGCCCCAAAGCCGATGCCCTAGCGGCTAAGCTGAGGGAGTCACTGGATGCAGCTGACGTCCGAGTGTCCAGGCCCACTAAATGCGCCGAAGTCCGCATCACGGGCCTGGACGACTCTGTCACGGCGGACGAGCTCAGACTCGCCGTGGCGGAGACGGGAAGCTGCCCTCTGGACAGCGTGAAGGCCGGAGCAATACGCTTCGGCCCCGGTGGACAGGGGGCAGCGGTTGTCAGCTGCCCCATCGCGGCGGCCCAGAAGGTCGCCGATGGACGGAGCCTCCTGGTCGGAGGTTTCCTGAGGGCGCAGGCACGGCTCCTGCAGGCCCGACCGGCAAGGTGCTTCAGGTGCCTGTCGGTGGGTCACGTAGGGGTGCACTGCACGGCGGAGGCCACCGTAGGTGACCGATGCTTCCGCTGTGGCCAGCCCGGTCACAAGGCGGGTGGCTGCAACGCTCCGCTGCGTTGCTTTAGGTGCGCAGCGGGGGGCAAGCCTGCCGACCACCGGGTTGGTGGTAAGGCCTGTGCCCTATCGCGACCGAAGCCGGGAGGCCGACCTTCCGCCTCCGAGCCGCTGATCCAGACGGAGAGTGCCGCTGGACAGCCGCAAAGTTCGCTGCGGGATGCGGGGATGGAAGTCCAGTGATGGATCCACATCTCCGCATCCTCCAGGTGAACGTAGGCCACGGTGCCGATGCTCAGGATCTTCTGCTCCAGAGCATGGCACAGTGGTCCATCAACATCGCCGCTATCGCCGAGCCATATGTCCATCGGTTTTCTCGGGCCTGCCTGGGAGACCGACTTGGACGGCACGGCGGCCCTGGTGCACGGTACCGCAGCCGGCACTCCACCTCTTGCAGTAGTTGCAAGGGGACGGGGCTGTGTAGCGGCGATAGTTGGAGATATAGCGGTCGTGGCCGCTTATTTCACGCCGAACCGAAACCTAACTGAGTACGAGCAATGGCTCGCTCAGCTGGCCGTCGTCGTCGATGCCTGTCGCCCCCACCCGGTTCTTGTGCTGGGGGACTTCAACGCCTGGTCGCAGGCTTGGGGTTCCCTGCGCACGAACCCGAGGGGCAGGGCATTGGAGAACTGGGCTGAAAGATTCGGCCTAGTTCTCCTAAACCGGGGGGCCGTGGCCACGTTCGTGACGGCGAGGGGTAGTTCGATCGTGGACATCTCGTTCGCGTGCCCCTCGCTAGCGCGTCGTGTCCAAGGCTGGCGCGTCGTTGTCGGGGAGGAGACAGGTTCGGATCACCGATATATTCGGTTTGACGTCTCCGCCCCTGCAGATGGCGCGCCGGTCAGACCGGCACCACCTGAACCACGTTGGGCGCTCAAGCGCTTAGATCGCGACCTCCTCCTGGAAGCCGCCATCGTACAGGCCTGGGCTCCTGCGCCGGACAGGCCTGTCGACGTCGATGCTGAGGCACAGTGGTTCCGGGAGGCCATGACCCGCGTCTGCGATGCGGCGATGCCTAGGGCTCAGCCCAATACTGCAAGGCGCCAGGTCTACTGGTGGTCGCC